TCATGAGCCTAGAAGGTTTACGGAAAAAAAGATACACCAACGATATTTCAAAAACAAGTGAAGTTAAGAATTTTTCAAAAATTAGTTAAATTACCGATTATTAAAATTTTTAGTTTTTAATTCATTAAAAAAAATTTTAAATTTATTTGTACAAATCTCTGACCGACAAAACATCTAGACAAACAAAATCCAACTAAACATTTTACTTTTTTACCCCGCTTACTTAATTTGACTCCACCTGCCAAACTCCCACATTTTAACACTAATATTTGAAAGTAAAGGGCAAAAATTGTATAACCAGACATCACCTTGAATTTTACAATATTGTAATCGGGAGATAAACGACAATATTTGAAAATCCATAACGAAAGTATTTTATGGTGTTTTTTTTTTATTTTTTTTGGTCATGAGCACTGTTGTTTAGTTTACGAGACCTTAATATAATTTTCAAGTATACGTTATTTAATTTTTGTTTAAGTGGTATTGTTAATTTTAAGTTAGATTCAACCGTTTTTTTATGAAATCCTCTATAAAAGCTTACATGTGGGTGAGGTAAAAAGGGCAAACTAAACTTTTACCCTGGCAAAGATAAAGTAATAAAAATAGTACTCAAAAACGTAAATTAAGTTAAAAAGATAATTTCACAAGATAAATAAAATAAATAGTAGTTCCAACTATGCTGATGAATATTTCTGACAAAATACCAGATCAAGGTTGTGTACAGTGTTATCCATGTAACAAATGTAGCCATGAAGTTTATATTTGGCATTGCTTGTATATTGTAGCTATTATTTTTGTAAAATTTATTTAAAAATATAAATAAAACATTTGCCTATTTGCCACCAGTTTTCATATTTTACTCCATATATGGAGTAAAAAGAACCAGGTGACAAATTTTTGAAAAACAGCAAGAAACACATTTTTACAAGGTTGATTTTGCTGGAAGTTTTACTGAACTTAGTCAGATAGTTGTTTGTTTCATATATGTTATTTGTTGTGATATAATTGGTTTGCTTTTCACAATATAATTGCTCAAAGTCAAATTGGACTTTTGTGCCCCGCGCTACCTTATTAGAAAAATGTGAAAAAATTAAAACTCAAAGTAACTTCTAGCTTTTTACTAAATAAATATGAGCAGTTTAAATTTGCAGACTCGAGAAAGTTTAACATTAAATTGTTTAATATAATAAATTGGTAATTCAACATTCTGTTGATATTTAATAATTATGTACATACTTATTTATTTATTTATTTTTTATATATATATATACATTATTTTCATATCTCAGTCAGGCAGAGTTGCCTGGTATGAGAGATTATGAAAAACAGTTTTCATATAATATTATTTTAATTATTTTCAATATTTTATTATATCGGTCTAGAATTTATTTTACTTCCGATTTTGTTCGGATTTCTACTCACAGGTATATCACCCTTCATATCTGTTCTATCAATACAATAAATTATTTTAAATATAAAAAATCACATAATATTTAGATAATAAATGAGTATACAAAAAGAAAAACAAAACAAAAGATTTATCTAGAATTTATTTTTTTCTATTTCAAGTCAAAGATAAAAATTGCACTCACCCACTTTCCTCCAAAATCTATAAGTAATTCTATTTTATTCGAATAGCAAATTGTAAATTTGCAATAACCAATTAAAGTCTTGCTATTTTGAATACAATCGGCTAAAATTTTCAAAATTACTATCTATCAAATGTTATATAATTACGATTAGAAATTCCACGAATCCTTTAATAACTTGTTTATTATTTCGAAACATAATAACTCAATTTCGGCAAAAAATTGGAAATCCATCTAAAAATTGATCTATTAAAACATTTACTAGTAATTATTGCAGGACCATTGATATTATTGATAAATGTAACAAAACAATCAAATAATTGATCTTGCATAAAAACTCAATTCATACTAATCTGCACAAATCTACGACGAACACAATAAAATTGTTTAAAATAATTAAAAAATAAGGTCATTGATTCAGAAAACTTTGGGTATATAAAAAAGAACTAAGATGTATTAAAATCAGTTGTTTGATATTTGTGTAAAAACTCTTAAATAAAAACATCAAGATGAATAATAATATATTTGTTGCAGTTTTTGTTTGTTCTACTATTGCCTTGGTTCAAGTTCAGGTAAAATTTATTTTCCATTTGATTTTATGATTTTTCAAGTCATTATGAATCGTTTGATTCCGAAATTCGAAAAAAATGTGATTATCGGTTCTATATACAACATTCTATAATTTCACAAGAATGTCAAACACTAATTATTTCTCACTTTAAAACATTTCTATTTATTTTTACTTTTTGAAGTAATACTTATTTGGGATCGTTCAAGTATTACGTAAGCAGATTTATTACAATTATTTACCCCCCATCCCCCTTGTCAGAAGTAAGCAAAGCTCTTACCCCCTACCTCCATGCTTACGTAAACATTTTGCAATTAATGTATTGTTTTTTTAAATATTGTAATTATTAACCTATGACGTAATCATCATCTAGACTCTCCTGCCCCCCATGTCACCAAAATAAGCAAATCAATAAACCCCCCGCTCCCCCTATAGTGCTTACGTAATACTTGAACGGGCCCTTTAGGCCCGACTAGGGTATAAATCTGTGAAAATGCAACGGAAGCGCGTTACGGCATAAATGATTGGTCATTCGCTCTCGATAATATCATTTCTATACGGGTCGTTTATGATTGGTCGTCGTGTTGCGTGAGAGCGTTCTTTGATTGTATGCGTATACGTAGTACGTGCCCGCATATAGTAAATGAAAAATCTGTGCCGTGTAAAAAACGTAAGTTTATTGGAATAATTTGTATTGTTTGTGGTTACTATATATTTTTAGAAACTATGTTTATAGGCAAAAAAGCTGCTTAAAGAATGAGACTGTATTGCCAGCGAAATAGTAAAAAAAACGAACAGTCAATGAATGTATGTTAATTTTAATTACATGATAAGCGAAACAACTGTTCTCGTTCAAATGCCAAAGCTTACAATTTCATTTTACTTATCTTGAACGTAAATTATTACTAAGTTGAATATTTTTATAAATAATGAAAAATGAATTGATATTCAGATTTATTACTCTAAACAAGAAATCAAGCACAACAATAGTTTGTGTAACTGTGTATCATTTATATACATTTATATTTCATATCTCGTACTGCAAAATAGTTTACAAATAGTTTACACAATAGTTTAGCAAAATAGTTTTACTTCAACTTATGCGCACTCTTTTTTAATATTAAATATTTTAAACAGATATATAATATGTCATATAGTATTTCAATATACTTTTTATTATAGGCAGGATTGCAAAAGGCAGAAGTCAAGAATTTTCTTATGGACTTAGGAAAGACTTGCTCTGCAGAAACAGGTGCTACAGAAGGTAAATAATAATTCATTTCCAAAAAAATTGCTTTCTTAAAAAAATATAAAGTTCAATGAATAAAATAGTATAAAATATTAAAAATAGAATGTATTAACATTCGTAAATATAACGCAAGTTATAAGGCAAAACTCATTAAAATTTTCTTGGGCAAGTTCATCTATCAGTTATGTTAGTTAATAGAATGTATTAACATTTGTAAATATAACGCAAGTTATAGGACAAAACTCATTTAATTTTTTTTGGGTAAGTTCATCTATAAGTTACTTTATCCAATAGCCAATAGTTATAGGACAAAACTCATTTACAATTTTTTGGAGAAGTTTATCCATTTGTTATTTTATCCAATAACCGTATATGTTCGAAACAATTTTATGTGTTTATGATAAGAATAATTTATGATAAAAGATATATGAATAAAAGTAGTAAGAAAATTTAGATATCTGGCGTACAGCTTTTATATCACAGATATAAACTTTATACAAACTTGGATAGTTGCTTAATTAAAATATTAAGACTAGTGGGGCGCATAGCATCGTGCCTTAAGGCAAATTGTTGGAACTTTTCGTACCAAAAATTTTTTTATAAATATCAACATTTTTGAAAAAAATTTACTATTTTTGAGAAACTATAAATTGTTGACAAAAATTTACTTTTTTTTGAAAAAACAAAATTTTTTAAGAACAATTTATTTTGAAATATTTTGGAAATTCTGAACATTTTTTCAAAGCAATCGTACTGCTTTAACTGCATAGAGACGAAATATCGAAGCGCGTAAGCGCCGCGTCGCCGTCTAACGCGTAAACATTGGTACGGAACCCATAGAAATATAAACAAAATTTATACTTACTAAAATTTCTATAAAATATCTGATAATTTGATGTGCATATGTTTAATGATCATTTTTGACCGCCAAATGACATTTTTTTTACTTTTTTTACTGGATCCCCGAAATCGCTAGACCTACTTTTATGAAAATTTGAACAGTTCTTCACCTTGTTAATACAAATAAAATATTTTTTGAATTATTCAAATCGGACGCTCCGTTCTCTTAAAAACTGAGTTACCGTTTTTGGCACTTTTTGCCCCGTATCTTCGGAACGACTATACCTGCCTTCGCCAAAAACTAACCAGCACGTCTCCTTATCAATACAAATCGAATGTTTTTCTAATCATTCAAATCGATTGATTCGTGTTCCCAAAAAACGTGGACGAAAAATTGTATCCATGCATACATACACACACCCACACATCCATTTTTCCTAAGGTATGCGAAATGTTCAGAAACCTCCAAAACGTAAAGAAATGTGAAAATTTTCACTTTCATTTTTGAACAATTACATTAACTTACCCTACGAAAAATTAATAATATTAAAAATAATATTAAATGTTAAAGTCATATTTTATGTTTAAATACGCCCATCTCGCGATAAAAGCTTGACAGAAAATATGTTATAAGAAATACTTGCCGGGCTTTAGTTATCACAAAAATGCATTTTATCAACTAATTTCAAAATTTATTTATATTTTTAGCTGATATTGAAGGTTTGCTGAAAAAAGAAGTGCCCACAACTCCAACTGGAAAATGTCTAATAAATTGCATTTATAAGAAAATTGGTTTGGTAAGAAGCAACCGCAAATTAATAAAGATAACAATGAACACAATGTACGAAAAAAATGAAAAACAACCGCAAATTAATTAAAAACAAACTTAGAACATGTATAGTTTTCAAAAATATTAGACACTTGAATTTTTTTAAATAAAAACTAAATCATAAGTGATATTTTACACCTCAAAACAAGTTGTATGAATTTCCCTAAATGTGGAAATAACATACTCAATCGATAAGAATTAAAATTTATCTATTTAAATAACATTTTCTGCTGTTCATTTGTAAAATAGTTTTTGCTTTCCATCAAAACTTTATATATTCTTTTACAGATGAAAGATGGTAAATATTCATCAGAAGGTGCAAGACTCTTGAATTTTTTGAATAAAACAAAATATATCCTAAAATGTCAAGTTGTTTAGAATATTTTGTAATAAGTGATATTTTACACCTCAAGGCAATTTGCATGAATTTCCCTAAATGTAGAAATAACATACTCAATCGATAAAGGGGCGTCCATTAATCACGTGAGGTTTTTAGGGGGAGGGGGGGTTTAAAAAAAATCACGAAATATCACGTGGAGGAGGGAGGGGTATAGTAAGATATCACGTGTATTTATTTTTTAAATAATTTTTTAAAAAATTTTATACATTTTCAAAAAAAAATCAAAAATGTTTTAAAGTTTTATCACGTAACTAAAAATACACATGATATTTGGTAGGAGGAGTGGGAGGGTTAATTTTGTATATCACCATATATCACCAAGCGGGAGGGGGGGGTTCAAAAACCCTTAAAAACCCGCTCACGTGATTAATAGACGCCCCCTAAGAATTAGAATTTATCTATTCAAATAACATTTTCTGCTGTTCACTTGTGAAATAGTTTTTGATTTTGATTAAAACTTTGGAGATTCTTCTACCTTTTACAGATGAAAGATGGTAAATATTCATCAGAAGGTGCAATTCGTACAGGAGGACTTCTCCATGATGATGACAGTGAAGAAATGGAAAAAATTAAAAAAATGGCTGATGCCTGTGAAAAAGAAGCCAAACACACTGACGAATGCGAACATGCGGCCGAAGCCTTAGGATGCGCCTTGAGAATGGCCAAGGAATTGAATTTCCCAATTCCAATTTAGAGGAAATTGGAGGAAATAGAGAAAAATTGATCTGGTGATGAAAATGCACAAGTAAAGTAGTTGGTAACATTTTTATTTGTATCAAAAGTAGGAAAAATCTCTAAGAAATTAAGTCTTTGTGTGTTTGCAGTATGTATTTTTGTACGCAAGGATTTGTTTTGCAAATTATAAAGTCAAAATTCAAAGCGAAATTAAGAACACTTAGAATATATGTAAGTAAGGATTTGTTTTGCAAATCCTGAGGTCAAAATTCAAAGCAAAATTAGAAACACTTAGAATGTTGAAATTTTAAATATCTTGTATCAATTATCTCAAAAGCAGTAAAAATCTTTGAGAAATCAAGTCTTTGTGTGTTTGCAGTATGTATTTATGTACGTAAGGATTTGTTTTGCAAATTATGAGGTCAAAATTCAAAGTAAAATTAGGAACACTTGCGTTAGAATGTTGAAATTTTAAATATCTTGTATCAATTTGTTGATAAAACTATAGTTACGTTTACTACAAAATTAAGTTAGAATTAAATTTACAAATGTTCTGTTTGAGTTACTAACACACCAATGTTATGGCAAAGCTATGTTATCAAGAATTTTCTATACTAAATTTTGACAAAAGCCACGTGGTTGCTCTGTACAGTCAGGCGTTTTTCTCAGGTTGTCAGATACAAAACCTAACGTAAAACCGCACAAATGTCAAAAAAACGATGTTAGGTAACAGGGTCTTTCTGACCCTACTTCATAACACACGAGCGACGTTGCAGTCTATGTGTAAAGCGCCTGAAAGCACAGCAAATACATGACATTTTGACAGTATCCAGTATGATTACAAGTGACTTCCTTATATGCACTATTTCTTTTATTATTTATTTTAAAATTCGAACACGATAGAAAACTTAGGTATTACAGGTTCAAATTTTGGAAAGTAGTTTTTCAATATTTTTGAAAATTAGTTAGAAGTAACATGTAATAAATCTGCATTGGAAAGAGGAATATTAGTTCTATTAGTTAGAATTAGTCTTTCTTAGGAAGTTGGATTTTTAATGAATCTAATAGCTAGCATTAATTTGTTTTCAGTCATAATTTTGATTTCATTTTGGAAACAAAATTTGAATTTAAGAATTGTAGAACAGTTAAAAGTATCATTTTCGAGATGAATGCGTTGATTGTAAATGATAATTTGCAATGTTCACCTAACAATAATTATCAATATTAATATAATTCTATATAATAATATATTGATAATTGAAAACAATAAGAATATTATTAAGTTTTTTATAATTTTGAAGATTTTTTTTATTGAGTGTTCCATTACTTTACTTGTGTATTTAAGTGTTGAAAAAAATTATGGGACTCGACTAAAATGACTAACGATATAAAAAATATAGTTTTAAGTTTTATTAAGTTTTTTGCAACATTATTTATTAGTTTATGAATAAAAGCATACCACGAAAATTATCAAAATAGTTTTATTTATATGAATAAAGTTAAATTGTGGATTTTTGCTGATAACTTATTATAGTATATATTAACTTTTTATATATTTATTATTGTTCAATAGTTAATAATTCCTTCTGAAATGATCAAATTTATTAGTAATTTTTTCATCAAGAAATTCCAAACGCTATTTAGTTTTTAAATGTGGTAAAATGTTGAAATGTTAACTTTCCAAAGAAAAATTGCTGGGTTTATATTTTCTCGATGTTTCAAGTTATTCTGAATCGTTTGACACCACAATTATTATTGCTACCTGCTCACTATAGTAGTTTATTCGTTTATCAATAATTCCTTTTTAAACGAACAAATTTATTAGTAATTTTTCCATTTGGAAATTCAAAACACTATTTAGTTTTTAAATGTGTGTAAAATATTGAAATATTAACTTCCCAAAGGAAGAATTTATATATTTACATATCAATATTTTTTCGACGTTCCAAGTTATTCTGAATTGCTTGACGCCAAAATAGTGTAAATGTAAAGAAAAGTATAGAATAGATGTATGAGTTTTTGTGTCTGAGTAAATATTCATACTTAATTTTAGTTTACTGCATTTTTGTTGGAAATACTTTGTACGTAGTATCCAAAATCAGAAATTTGTTTTATCCTTTTTAATAATAATAAAATTTAGGTTCAATATGGGTTCAACTAAACAGATATTTAGGTTTCGAAATTGGGTAACATTCTTTAAATAAATAAACCATAAATTAATTTTAAAAAAAGTTTAATCATATCCTAGATGCCCATAATATATGAATACTTTCCAATTATTCCATTATTTTTAAGAGCACATTATTGGTATCCTGAATCAAAAAGTAAAATTTTAAATAATATAAATCAATACTAATTTTATCATACATTTGTTGTACTACTTTTGCATCAATATTATTTTCCATAATTATAAATCATTATTTTATATGACATGGCATATACGTATTATATTTCATTGTATTTTGAAATAATTTTATATTTTAAAATCACCATATTTAAAAATAGATTAAAATTGTTATCTAAATCTGAACTGAATTAAATTTATGACGTGTGTTTTAGGAATTACAGTTACAAAGTGAAAAAATAATTCAATAATTTTCAGGAAAAAGCAGGAAAATCACAATGGAAATTTTTAGAAATTTAACGAACGGTTCTATATTATAATAATTTTAACCATTTAGTATGGTTTAGTTATAAACAATAAAAAAATCTAATTAAAAATTAACGAATCAAAATATGTTTCAAATTTTGGTTTAATTGGTTTAATTTAATTTTTGGTCAGATATGAGATTCAGAATAGCATCAAATGTCGAGAAAATATAATTAGCAAATTGGCTTACCTGAACAAAATAAAGGAGTTCGGGACGTTAATAAATGAATAAGTAAATTAAAGAATTGTAATCATATAAATTTAATTTATAGTAGGTATTCAAATATTATGCTCAGATATTTATTATATTTGAAACCTTATTCTAACAATTTTTTAAATTTTTGTTACTGTTGTTTCACTGTTGTTTTTTGTTATAGCAAAAAAACTTGTGATAAATACTTATTTGAGTTTTAAATTTTCATAATTATATGATAAACAAAATTTACATTTTTATAAGGCGAAGCAAGTTAAATAAATATAAAAAATAGTAAATTGAAAAGATAAAATTCATTATATTAAACAAACGTAAATGAATTACATTTGTCTCTAAGTCTGTCTATTATCAATGCTTTAAATATTTTTATTATAAGAAAATTAATTATACTTTGACAATATTTTCTTGAAAAACTCCAAACTCATCATTTCTAATAGATTTCTTCTTCGAACGTTATCAATAACACATTAATATGTCAGATCATCATTAAAAAATCATTATCTAAATTAGTAATAAATTATTATTTATGATACATTAAGCAAATGATTTGTCGAGAGTTCTATAAAAACGCGGTTGATCAGAATTTATGCAATTATTATAAAAAAAATAGAGATAACTAAGTATTCAATATGAAGAGTTGTTTTTTGCTGGTTTTGTCTGTGATTTTGGTGATTGCTCAGGTAAAAAAAATAATTAGAATTATTACTTAATTATAATACCAACTCGTTTTAATGCAAAATTCTCACACTTAGTTTATTTACTCATTTATTTATTTTTTGATCTATTTATTTATTGATTTATACATACCTGATGATAGTTAAGAAATTCGAATGTGTACAAAAGCTTTACTAACTTAGAAAGATAAATTTGAAGTTACAACTAAATCCAAACATATCCAATCCCTTTTGCTTTTGATCTAAATAAAAAAAATCTAAATAAAATATTAGCTTTTTCCAAAATAACTCTACAAACTAAATAAACACTAATATGTCCTACAAAATAGTTCTAAAAAAAAGTTTAATTTTAAAAATGATAGCATAATGGGAGAAGCACCTTTGTGATTTGAGCCAAAATTTGCCATTTTTTTTAACATAATTTGAAATTTATACAATTCATCAAGTTTCTCATGCTACATTTCCAGAGTTATAAATCTATTTTTCTAATTTTGATATATTTAAAAAAAAATCAGGGTGAAAAACTGACTTTGGATGAAGCCAAAGCTCGCATGTTTAACCATGTTCAAGATTGTGCTGGAGAAGTCACTGCTACAAAAGGTACAAACTAATTTTACAATAAATACATTTTTTTTAAAAAAACTTATAATTTCAAGTGCATAAAATAATAAAAATCACAACTGATATCAACCGATGTTTTAAAAATACTTACAACTTTTTAGATAATAAATTTTAAATATTTTCATATATAAGAAATTGCAACGAAAATTTATCATGATTGTTATTTATACAAGTATGTTGCAATTGTCATTAAAAACTCATATTTCACTCAGGAATTAAAATCACAACCAATTTAAATTGGCCTTTGAATTAACTTGAAATTTAGTACACTTAGAACTTGTATTAATATTTTACATTATTAATTTTCAATAAATATCATATTGAACTTTTCAGATGATATTGAGCAATTGTTGAAGTTATCTGTTCCAGAGACCTCAACAGGAAAATGCTTAGTTGCATGCGTTTATAAAAAAGTTGGATGGGTAAGTTAACTATAGAAAGAAAAGTATGTACAACAATCGGCTTAAATTGTTTTTCAAAACTTAATTACCAGAAAACGGCTTGGTAGATTTTCACCTAAAACTAATCAGTATTATTCCCAACTAATATCTTTCGAACAGTTTTTCATTTTTTAAAATCGATTCGGTAGAATGAGCTTAAATGTAGACGAAAAGTTTAACACTTTTTTCCAAATTTCAAAGAAACGGCTCAGCAGATCGTCGCACAAAACTGAGAAAGGATAGTCCTCATCGAGATACATCAAATGGCTTTTGAATTTCTGAAATCGGTTCAGGCGTTTTTAAGAAAACGTCTGATCAAACGTCTAATTTTGACAAATACCAAAAAACGATACTGATTTTTGCCAAACTTTGACAAATTTTTAAAGCTAAACGAGTTGTCGTAGGGCCGTAATATTTCAGTATGATCTATAAAACTATTCCAAGTTAACGTGTTTGTTCGTTTTCATACTTTAATCACTAATCACATAAATTAATTTATTTTTTATTTATTAAGTCAATTATTTACACATATCGGGAAGTTCATGTAACTTGCCTCAAGGCAAAATACCAATTCCAACTAGTTTAAAATTTGGTCTCATTCGATTCAGAATGGCTTGAAACGTCGAGAAAACATAAAATTAGCAAATCGGATTTTTTGATAAAAACTTAAACTTCTCCTTCGGGAAGTTAATAATAATAATGATTATGTATTAACTAATTGCCAAAAACATTGAAATTCAATATTCAAAGAATGTCTTGGTTTGTGTATAATATTTGTGTTATAAAAATTTTGAATTATTCAAAATTATGCCTGTCAATAAGATAATCTGATCAATCCCATTAATTTATTTCTCAGATTCAAGACGGGAAATACAATTCCGAAGCCAAAATGAACTCCTTCAAAAAAGTGCACGAGGATGAACCAGAAAAGTTGGAAAAATTTGCCAAAATATCTAAAGATTGCGAATCAGAGGCCAATGGAGCTGATGAATGTGAAATGGCTGCAAATGCAATGATTTGCGGAACCAGAATGGCAAAAGAGCAGAAATTATTGGAAGAAATTCCAATTTAAATTTAATAAAAAAAAGTAATTTTTTTTTTGTAGAAATTTTCACTGATGATATTGAGCGTAGAATAATCAATGATAGCAAATTAACAAGCTGTGTTTAATGTATTTATAAAATGTATTATTACGATAAAAATAAAAAGTATCAAGTTATAAAAGTATCATCTATTTGGTATTATTAGAAGTTGTTCTCCAAAGTCAATCAGAACATTTTTATTTATTATCTTTGCCTTTTCCTAAAAATATCTAGACTAGAACAAATTATACCAAAAATTGCGCAAATTATAATTTTTTATTTTGCGATTAAAATTTATGCAACAAATTCAAGTTAAAGTTATTATGAATATTTTTTTGTTATTTCAATTATTATTATTATCTTATTATTTCTAATATTGTCATTTTGTTATATTTATTATTATCTGCCACTTATTGTTTTTATTTTACTCTATTTTTTTCTAGTACTATTTTATTATTCAGAAATGTTATTATTATTATTTGCTTTTATTTTACATTAAATCATCATACTACGGATATCATTTTAATGAAAATACTATCCTATATTTTGTACTCTTTTTTATTTAAATTTATGTTATTGCTAATTATTATTACTGGATGTTAAATTATTTAACTGTTGTAATAAATATTGTAATTAAAAAAAATCTATTTGGTATTATTATAAGTCGTTCTCCAAAGTCAATCAGAACATTTTTTTTATTATCTTTGCCATTTTTTTCAAAATATCTGAGGACAAATTATACTAACAATTGTGCAAATTATAATTCATCAATTTGTCTTTGAAATTTATGCAACAAATTCAAGTTAAAGTTATAATGAATATTTTTTTAGTACTTCAAAACAAGACATTTCTTTATGGCAATTTTTTTTTTATAAAATATTAAATTATTTATCTTATTTATAGAATTCGATGCTATTTTCAGAATTTTAACTTTTGTTGCAACTTTATGCATATTTTATTATTTATTTAAACAAAAAATAAAGATTAGAATTTGTTAAATGAATCTAACAATGAGCAAAATTTTTCAATAAGAGTTTTTGCAGATTTTTTTTATGAAATATTAAATTTATATTTATCTCTGCATTATATGCTATTTTCAGAATTTTAACTTTTGTTTGACTTTATAATTATTTTATCATTTGTTTTTATATAAAAAATAAAGATTAGAATTTGTTAAATGAATCTGACAATAAGCAAACTTTTGCAATAAGTGTTAATAAAACTGATTTAACTAAAAATTCTAATTATCACAATAAATTCATCAAAGTTTTAATTGTTTGTAAAATGAATAAATGTTTATTTAATATCAATTACATTTTAATTCAGTTTTTGATAAATTTCATAGTAGTTACTAGAACTAAAAGTGTCATTAAAATTTTCTACCCAAAAATGCTATTTTTTTTTTTTTTTTGAAAAAATAGCATTTTATTATAATTGAGTAAGTGTTGTAAAAATTACGAAATAAAACTAAAAAGTTACTCTTTTTTTATCAATGATATTGTTATAAAATACAGAAAAATATTATTGAAACTTAGTCTTTGTAATCTTTCAAAACAACATTTAATTATGACTGAAAATCATTAATTAATTACGACTTACTTTACTAATAAATCATTATAAATGCCAATTCATTATTATATAACTAAAACCACAAAGAGTCTTATAAAAACAAACATCTGTACTATTTCAGTAACAATTGTGAAAAATATTTGTAACAAGTTGTATGATTTTTTTTTATTTCAAAATGAATTCTTATGGTTTTCTAGTTTTATCTGTGATAGTTTTATCAGTTCAGGTGAGATATATTTTATAGCAAAATTGCTTTAATTATTAATAAAATTATTTAAGTAACACCAAATAAAAATTTTATTTAAATATGTTGATAAAAAGTATATAATTCAATTTTGACTAGAATTTTATCGTGAAATGTGTAAAAAATAGATGTTTTTTGATTTTTAGCCCATGTTAATTCCTAATATTATTCAAAAACATTTTAACTACTGCTTTAATTTTCCAAAACTTTATTCAAATTCATTTAATTTTTTTTTCAAAATATGATTATTAATTTTACCGTTTAATTGTTCACTATGAATTGAGAACGAAATTCTACAGAAACTTATGTGAAAATTACTTCTTAGAGCATTTTTGATAAAATTATTCATATTTCTTGCTGGAAAATAAATAAAATTGTAATTGAAAGTAATTAAATGTATTAAAATATTAATTTTGAAAAAAAAATAGTTTAAATTGATAAAATATCGTACTACACTCTACTGAATGAGAGAAATCTCACAACATTAATGTTTTAAATTTAATAAAAAATTCAAATAATAATATTTTCATATATGTCTGTATGCATGATTATAATTCATTATAATTTTTTTTTTGTAAAATTTACAGGGTGAAACTTTATCTAAAGAAAAAGCAGAAGATTTATTACATCAACAAATTGAAGATTGTGCAAAAGAACTAAATGCTTCCAAAGGTTTTTTCCTTAATTATTTAAATTTTTCCCTATTAAATTAAAAATGATTTTTATAACAGAATATATTCATATAATACTAAAAAATATAAGTTTGAATGTTAAATTCGTTATCTAAATATAGAGAACATTAAACTTTTGTCTAGTTTTTACAAATAATAATTTCGAAGTCTTGAATAATAAAAACTGAATTAAAAACTGGGTTAAAAATTCAAGCTAATATGAAATTTATTATCATCAATTATTTTTAAAACTAATAATTTAGACAAAAGCATATATTATTTATGAGATTGTTAATTGTTTATAATTTTAGATGACGTTGACAAATTATTCAAGCTAAAAGTTCCAGAAAGTGATGAAGGAAAATGTGTCGTTAAATGCGTTTATGAAAAAGTTGGATGGGTAAATAATATTTTTTTATATTTGATATATTATTAAAATACTTATTTAATAATATAATGAATTATGTTAACTTTGTTTATATGTATTAAAACACCTCATCTCTAATTACTCGTTTATTATCTCTAATTACACTTTCTACAATATTTATCTCTATATGTAAACGCCATCTTTACGTCCCTAACAGTTGTAGATTTATTTATTATTCAATTAATATATTATTTTCTTTAAAATATTTGCTTCCTGAATTTGTGATTTAATTCTAGCTATTAGAAGTTTTTAAAAATACAGAATTAGCCAAAAAAACACAAATTTTTGCTCAAGAAAAAAATCCTGAACCGATTCTGAAAATTTATCATTAGGTGATTGTGCAAGTTTTAGCAAAGATCGGCCAGTCTCTTTCTTTGTAATTAAATAAACTTAACATTGTGATTCAGTTTATGAATAAAATTTTAAAATATCTGCATTTTTTTTATTTCCTTAGAAAGATACAATGGAATCTAATAAGAAATTGAAATTCAGTCCTTAGTCTAGTTTTTAGAGAATATTTCTAACATATTTTTAATTATTTATTTATAGATGAAAAATGGAACATACGATGCAAAAGCAAAACTGGACTCGTTTAAAAAAATCCACGAAAAAAATACTAAATTAATGGAAAATTATACAAAAATGATTGAAGATTGTGAATCTAGTGCAAAAGGAGGAAATGAATGCGACATTGCCAAAAATGTGATGGACTGCGAAATTAAAATTGCCAAGGAAAATAAATGGATACAAAATCCTACGGAGGAAGAAAATGTAAAATAATATAATTAAAATGAAAAATTAAAAATAGAACATGAATAATAATTATAGAATTTGAATAAAAAATTAGAAGTAAGAAGAAAAACCATATTAGAATTCTAGAAGATCAAGAAAAAAGAAGGATGAGAAACGAGTTGGAAAAAGCAAAAAAATATAGGATATATAATATATGAAATATAGTATAGAATATATATACAATAGTGTAGAATAGATAAAAATAGTATAGATCATGAAAATGAAATATTGTAGGCGTATAAATCTTTTAAATAAGTAAAAAAGCCAATAAAAAATGCAACATGTTAGTAAAATCTATTTTTAATACATGAATTATAGATTAGAATTTATAGAATTGAGAGTAATATATACTGCATCATGTTTTTTTCGTATTAGTATTTGATTCTTATATTTCAAAATACGTTAAAATTTACTATTTAAAACGGTTTTTAAACATTAATTCTGTCAGCAGGTTCAATTCTGCAGGTAATTCTGATTCGACATATTTTCCAGAACAAAGATCAATTTGTAAATCAGTGTTTGGCAAAACTTCCGGAACATCCTAAATAATACTTTCACTTCCGTAATTGTATATTGAATTATTACAATTTATCATTTATTTGTTGAAGTTGTTAATTGATAAATATTAATTTATCAGTAAATGCACTAGGAGAAAACTGAATCCTGATCAATTTTGAATGGTCTTAACCATTTTTTTTATTAATTAAGCTAGTTTTTTATTTACAAAAAAGCATTTCTGGTCATTTAAAATAATAACGAATCAATAAAATAAAAATTCCAAATTCGGTTCACTGTGGTATATAAAGATACTGAAAAAATTCATATCAACATAATATTAATAGATATAATTCTTGCTTAGAGACTAGTCAAAAATGTAAAAAATGCATTTAAACCTTATTCATTTTTTTCAAATATCCTTAGAAATGATTAATGAACGCTCCTTAACTCTGTTTGCAAGGCCAAAGCTCTTACCACTATATCACGACAATCTCTCCAAATTTTTTCGCAAAATCTACGCAATTTGAAAATGAAATGAAGAAAAAGGGAATAGTAATGCTGTAAAATACTGTAAAAAAATTAGAATATTAATAGATATAATTCTTGCTTAGAGACTAGTTAAAAATGTAAAAAATGCATTTAAAACTTATTAAATTTTTTTCAAAAATCCTTAGAAAATCGATCACGTGATTAATGGACGCCCCCTTTGTGTTTGCAAGGCCGAAGCCTTACCACTATACCACGTCAATCTCTCGAAACTTTTTCGCAAGATCTCCCATTTGAAAATGATATGAAGCAGGTAAAGTAGATAGTAATGCTGTAAAATACTGTAAAAAAAATTAGAATATTAATAGATATAATTCTTGCTTAGAGACTAGTAAAAAATGTAAAAATGCATTTAAAACTTATTCAATTTTTTTTTTTCAGAAACCCTTAGAAAATCAATCACGTGATTAATGGACGCCCCCTAACTTTGTGTTTGCAAGGCCAAAACTCTTACCACTATATCATGACAATTACTCCAAACTTTTTCGCAAAATCTTCCATTTGAAAGTGAAATGAAAAAGAAAAAGGGAATAGTAATGATGCAAAATATTGTAAAAAGTTTAGAGCATTTATAAAAATTATTTTCAATACACAAATATTTTAATTGTGATAAATAGTAATAAAAAAATTGAAGTATTTGGAATAAGAATAACCCCTAGTACCAATTCCTACTTAAGATAGTTTGAGGATTAAAAGTATTATCAAAATCGTAAAAAATGTAATTACTATTTCAGATATCAAAAGTATGTTTCCTATGAGCTGTTTTTCTTTTGTACATCTTAACCCAGTATTTTTCTCAAAAGTGCAACTCAACGGTCGTCTACTCCAATTTTATATATAGACTAAGTATATGTATTCAAAAAGTACCTAATAGTGTTGCAGCAATGCCCACAAAAGGTGATTTTAACTTGAGATTATATTAGAGATACATAACTTCTTGATACCGAGCTAGCTGAAATTGGGATCGGAGCTGTGTGCTACCCCACGTCCTTAACCATTAAACCACGTAAAAACCTACAAATAGATTATTATAGGCTCTATTTAAAATTTTACAAGTTCATTTAGGTGCTATCAACTAAAAAATAAACTAATCATCTATCGAAACCCTCAATTTATACCAAACTCATACAAAAGCAGTTAAAATTATTTATTGCAATAGAGTTACATTGCAAAAATAAATCATTGCATTTATCCATTAATAATATAAAATCGTTTATCATTAGTGGTTTTCCACCATTAAAAATGACAAATCATTCTAGTTTCATCAAATGAGCAATTATATCCGAACAATTGAATATTGTCAACAGGCAGAATCTAACAGAGATTCAAGGAAATTAGAATCAGATAAAACACAATATATAAAGTGGAAGCATTGGGTTTTGGAAATCAGTACAGTGTAGTAAATACTATATTGGAAAATTATAAAAAAGTTTATTTATAAATTTAAAGTAGAAGAAATCAAAATGAAGATATTCTTGGTGATTGGAGCACTGGTTGCTTTATATTCTGTGGCAGAGGTAAATAACAAGCATTTTTTAAATAAAAAAGAGTAAAAAACAAATATTGTTTTCGCAACTTCACTCATCATGAACAACTTCATATAATTAAAATTAACATACATTCATTGACTGCTTGAATTTTTTTTTATTTTTTCGCTGGCGATATAATCTCATTCTGTGAACAGCTGTAATATCTGTCTTGCCTAAAAAATATTTTCCGTTTTAATAACTTCAAAGATTTATAGAAATCTACGAATAATATAGAAATAATTCCAAATCAATAAACTTACGTTAAGTACACGGCACAAATGTTTAATTTGTTTTATTATTTTCAAAGAACAGGGTAAAATATTCTTCTGATTCAGGCATTTTTCATTAAATCAAGATTTGTACTACGATGTAATTTTAAAATGTTTATTTATCTATGCCGATTTGCTTGTTGATATCGGTACGCATACAACGACAGATCTCTATTCACATACACGACGACTAATCACAATCGACCCGTATAGAAATGATCATCGAGAGCGAATGACGTATAGTTCAGGCGTAACGCAATTTCCGTTGCATTTGTACGGATCTACACCCTAGTCGCGCCTAACGAAGTTTTACTTCAAAATATGAATGTTTTTTGAATTATTCAAATGGGTTGATCGGTGTTCCCGAAATCGTCAATGAAAATTGGTATCCGCACGCACATACACGCACACACACACACATACATCCATTCTTTCTAAGGAATGCCAAAATATTCAGAAACCTTTGAAACGTAAAGATGTATAAAAATTTTCATTTTCGATTTTTTGCGATTACTATAACTTGCCCTACGGGAAGTTAATAAATCGATATATAAATCTCTACGGGTCTCTATAACATTTGAGATTTTCCAATTTTTCATACAATTTCGGAAGTCTGGCTGGAAAAAAACTAACTTTATGAGTTTTTTTTTATCATATACAAGACATTTTGAATAATTGATCTCACTATAGAAACTAATTAGATCTTGTTAGATTTTTACCACATTTAACTATAAAATCAGAACTAAAATTTATAAATTCTCATTAGATTGTGGCTACATTCTTATTAGATTCATAATAGGTTCTTATGAGATAATGCAAGATTCTTATTACAGATTCTATATAAAATATAAGTATACTATATAATATTCTATATAGGTTTTAATTAGAATTAGGAGGTTCTAAAGTATGACTAATTTATAAAAATGGATTTAAATATTATATTTTAGGCTGCAAAATATACCAAAGAAGAAGCAAAGGAAAAACTTTTGCAGATAGGCAAAGATTGTGCTGTAGAAACAGGAGCATCTTCAGGTAATTAATCAGAGTTATTTACCAAAATTAGTTTAATTAAAGTATATGTAATATAAATTTACACAATAGATATTATTATATCTAATATTATATAGGTAGTTTGTAGCGCTATGGTAAGTGCCTGGCTTCGCAATTACGAACTACCAGGATACTTAAGAACAACTTGTTATCTAGCTGTAGTTATATGCCATTTTTACTTTAAAATATAGCTTTCGGTCAGTGAAAAAAGCACTTCTCGAGCATTGCTGCAAAAATCATTAACATATCATTTCTGATTGATGTTCAGAAATAGTACTATCTAACTATGTAGAACTATTATCAGATAGTTTATTATTATTTCAGATGATATCGAAAAATTATTGCAGAAGAACATACCAGATTCAAAAGCAGGAAAATGCATGATCAATTGCGTTTACAAGAAACTTGGAGTGGTAAGAATGCATTATTTTTTTGAAAAAAAAATCTATGATGTGAAATTTTTGGGATGAGAGATTTTGTTTAAAAATCAATGGTTCATTAAAACCGCATAATAATATTCATAACAATTATTAGTCTGCCTGAAGGCAGGTTCATAGTATGAAAGCACCACAAAATCAATGATTACCTCATCCTATCTTGTTAATTAACGCCATTATTACCATTAATTAATTACCTTTACCACACCAATCATCTTTAATCAATTACCTTTATAATTTATTACCTTTTATATTTTTTATGAATTTTCCTTTCCAAATTTTTGGTTCCATGTTTACTGGTTCCATCCTTCCTAGTCCTGTGCTTTGGCTTTCAGTTCTCTGTATTTTCTCTTCTCGGGTAAGTTGTCAATCATCTGCATTCTTCTTCTTCCCAATCCTTTCAGTATTTATATTTTACCTTCGACGACTTTTTGCACAATAGAACAACATAAAATAATTTAAAAACTAGGCCAAAGTGGCCTATAAGTGGCCTATTGCCTTAAGGCAAGTTGTATGAACCAATATGTTATCCAAACGACTGAATGATTAAGAATTGACATTTAAGGGCAATTCTGCCGTAGCAGAGCTCATAAAATAGCGTTGTTATGGCAACGCTCTCTTATACTTGTATTGGTAGTGAAAATTATGAAGACGCTCATCTATTTGCTTCTCCATCAGGTGTATTTTACATATAAACAAACCAAGGGAGAATGCTATGATAACTGCACCATCTAAAATTCTGTTATCATAACATTTCTGCTTGTTTATATGTAAAATACGCCTTAAATAGATAGACATTTTCATAATTTTCAATACCAAGAACAAGCATAAAAGATCGTTGCCATGACAACGCTATTATATGAGCTCTGTTAGGGCAGAATTGCCCCCTCATCTATTTAGATACAGTTTCCAACTTTTAATAAAGTTTTCACTTTCCTTAAAAAAAATCAATGCCAATTCCAGTTGTATTAATTAGTAATTGCATTATAGTGCACAAATAGGCATTTGTTTGTCTTACCAGCGCCACTTTTCACAAGCCTATAATATTTTATGAACTCTTTCACTGTGCAAATATTTATAACAATTGTGCAAAAAACATTCAACAAACGGCCTGGCTGATTTTTACCAAAAACTTATCAGCACAATTCCCAACTGACATTTTTCAAACGATTTTTGAATTTTCAAAATTGGTCAAGGATTTTTGACAAAATCTTTGGGAAGAAATGTTTCACTACCTGCTAATTATAATGAACAATAGTTTAAGTTTCATTAAATGGTTTTAAACCTTTGAAATCACTGCAGCCGTTTTTTTTTTTTTTTTGAGAAAACGTCTAAAAAATGTAAATTTTTGGCTCAATATAGGTCTCAAATGATTTAATACGCCTTGAAACGTGGAGAAAACATAAAATTATTATGTTAAATTTTCTGGCGAAAATAAACTTATTAAAACTGTTTCTTATTTAGGCGTTAAGAAAAAGTGTAAATTAAATGCTATTCACTCGATTTCAGCATTGATAAAATTTATCTTGGCATTTACCCTGAATTTTATAACATTCCGTAATATTGCAAAATAGATGTTGAATATTAGGCATAGATATTAGATAGAACATTATGTCGTACAAACCCTATTTGAATCTAATAAGAAGTGTCCCAGCACATCCTCCCACGTTTTTTAGGTTAATGCTTTTATAGATAAATAAGAATAAATGCTTTTCCAGTATTATTATTTAAATTGCATAAAATTTATCTGTATATTATTTATCAAATAATAGTAACTCACCTTATCATGGATGTCTAGTTAGCATTTCCCATCCCGGCCGACATTTTGTAAAAATCGCACTTGAACTAAACGTCATCCAACAGCAACCACCGATTCAAAAACATGCCACTAATTTCCCAACACTTTTCATTTACTATTTCAGATGAAAGATGGAAAATACCATCCTGATGCCGGAATTGAAGTATCAGCCATGGTACACGAACACGATTCAGAATTAATGGAAAAAGTTAAGAAAATCGCAACCGAATGTGACAGCGAGGCCAAAGGAGAAGACGAGTGCGAAATTGCTGCCAAAGCAATGGCGTGCGGCGTGAGGATGGCCAAAGAACACAACTTAATGGACGCGATACCAATATAATAGTAAAAAAATCTTTGTTAGGTCGGTTGAAGACCTGTCAAAATGTAGTCGTTAAATTGTAGTGTGAAGTTGTCACGATGTGGGCGTAGGAATAAAATGTTATTTAAAAACAATTCGTTTTAATTTAAAATAATGTTTGTATGCTTTGATTGTACATCACTCTTTATTTTGAATTCTATTATTAGAATAATCTTATATATAAAAATAGAGCTCTCGATAAAATGGTCCGCTAAAACTCGAAAACGGCTAAACCGATTTGGCCAGTTAGCCAGACTTGAAAAATTCGTGCTAATCAGTAGGTTGTCGGAAAGATGAGATATTATTTCAAAATCGCGTAGCAACTTTACATTTACAATTTGAAAATTTTTGTAGAAGCAAAATTTAAACAAAACAATGGACGATGGCTAATACGTCAATCCCAGAATTTATCAAAGAATAGATAATAATATATGAAGGTCCGGGGTTAAAAAGATCCACCACCGATGTGTCAAAAACCAGTAAACTTAAGCATTGTTTAACAACGGTATTTGAAAGTAGAGGGAAAAAGATGTATAACCAGCTATAACCTTGATTCTCATGATCGGGAAATAATCGGCAATCTTTGAAAATCCATAATAAAAGTATTTTCTTCCTTTGGTAGTTTTTTAGCAATAGTTGAAAATGTAATTATTTTGTAAAATACCTTTAAAATTAAAATAAGACAGTAAACCTGTTTGCCACCTGGCGGTACCAAGTTACCTTGCCTATGGGGTAAAAAGGTCTAGATTTTTGTAAGACAGCAAAAAAGCACATTTCTACAATGATAAAGTTGCTGGCAATTTTACTGAATGTAGTCACATAATTGTTCAGTTGAAATGTGTTATTTGTTGTGATATAATTGGTTTGTTTTGCACAATATAGTTTATATTTGCTCAAAGTCAAATTGAACCTTTGTGCCTCGCCCTGCTCTACATATATACTTTTTATTGAATTTACTTTGATTCATCAAATGTTACTTGAAACGTTTTAAAAAGTAGGTCAAAGATGAAATACTTAATTCATTTTCTATCTCTCCTCGCAAAAATTTGATAATTTTGTATAAGCTCAGTAGTATTATTTACAATTATACACAAAATCCAGAATCCAAAAAAAAAATCTGAAAAACTTGAAACGTAATCAATAAGTGGAAAGACCAAAAAAAGACTTGGATTGGATTATACCATGTTTTCTATATCTATTCAAACAACACATCCTTATACACTTGAAGTATTAATATTTTTGTTTCTCTAGAAATTGTTTAGAATATATCTTACTTAAGAACAACGTTTGCCGGGTCAGCTAGTAATATTATAAATATAGTAGAATTTCGTTAGTCCGGAATGACTGATAGCCCGACATTTTGTATCAACTATTAAACAGAGAAAATAAGTAAATATAAGAATAAAAAATTGCTAAAAATCATAAACTTGTTATTTCACTAAGGGAAATCAACAGGAAAAACATTAAAAATTATTTAATCTAGTGCTATATAACATTCGACGTTTAATCAAGATCGTCAAAAATAATCAAAGCCGTTATAAATTGAAAAAGGAAATGCGGAATAGCATGGAAAAAGCTATTTATCCCGAACAAATAATATAAATTTTCAATTAAATGTTTAAGCAACTACAAAATTCAAATTTTATAACATAATTCACATATTTAAATTTGGCGCACTTTTTGATTTCAGTTTTAAAGATGGCAGCCATTGCGCTGAACATGTTGCAAATAATTAACTGACACCTAAGTTCAGTAAGTTTTTAAGAATGTAGTGCGTTTTTTTTTGCATAAACTGTTTATATTTAATAAAGTGTGTAAATTCTGCAAAATATTTATTTAAACAATACATTTTATGTTGAGAATTCATAGTTATTATAAATCTCTTCAAACATTCTTCTACAAGACAATTTAACATTCAACTTAGCACACATTAGAAACACACCAGACAATTTACGATGCAATGAGTATATTTCTTCAGGGGGTGGACACAGCCTTTGAGACACCATCACAGGTACCAAATCTGCAATTCTTTTCGTAGTACTCTGATTTCCAAAATCAAATTCCCCTCTGCAACTGAAAACTTCTCCTAGAATCATGACAGCATTGATATGAGCCTCACGCATAGATTTTGATTCATATCCTGTGAGGAAGCCCATGTGTTCAGATAATTTAAGTACAAGTTCTCGGTCGTCATCTGTGGCAGCTTTGATTACTTTTAAATAATTATCAATGAATTCTTTAGAATAATCTCTTGTAGCACCAAAGTCAATTAAGGCTAGTTGCTGGGTTTCTTTGATGTACAGAAAGTTTGACCAATTTGGATCTGTTTGCATGAATCTATGGACAAATAATTCTCTAAGGCACAATTTCATGATTGAATGAGCAATCATATGTCGGTCTTCATAAGGCAGTTGAAAACAATGATCAATAGGTACACCTGGCATTAATTCAGTTGTGAGTACTTGTGCTGAACTTAAATTGCGTATAACTTTAGGTATAACATATTCAGGATAATCACTAAAGTAGTCATAGTATCTTTCTGAGTTCATTGCTTCACGTTCATAATCAACTTCCCATGCTAATTCATGTTTAGCTACTTTAACTATTTTATCAATAAACATACCTTGTGGAAATACATTCCACACATTTAATAAACCTACTAGATTATCTATATCACTTTCAATTCCTCGAGCTACACCAGGATATTGTACTTTTATTGCCACTGTCATGCCATCATGCAATACACCGTAATGCACTTGACCTATAGACGCAGCAGCAAAAGGCTTTTCATCAAACTCACTTAAATGATCTCTCCAATTTTCACCAATTTCAGCCTGTAAAACAGATTCAACTTGCTTTAGAGGCATGTAATCAGCTGAATTTCGGACTCTTTCAAAGACTGATGCCAGTTCTGGTGCAATAACTGAATCATCTTGGATACTAAGTATCTGCCCAAGCTTTAGAGCAGCACCTGAAATAAAAAAAAAACATTTATTCAATATTTATAAATTCCTTCTCTTTATTACAACTTTTTGTTGCCATTTTTGTTGGTTTTAAATATTTAAAGCTAAAATACTTAATGAATTGTTCAATGATTACCTCTAACTTTGCACAATGTATCAACTATCCTCGTTGCATTCTCTGGAGACAACAAAGCTTTTTTGACTGTCGGTGCACCCCCCAAACCTAGGGCTCCTTTAGCCAGTTGTGATAATGTTCCAATTCCTAAGCTTGCAGCCAGACTTCCAAAAGTTGCCATGCGTTCAATGCGTGAAGCAGGGACTCTCCTTTGCTTTGCAGATTCAGACAACTGTGATAATAGAAAATAATAATATAAAATGATTTCACGATTAAAATGTTAACATCACATTTTAATATCTATATTCTAAATGTTTTTAAAATAGTTTTACAATGAAAGTGCAAAGTTTGTTCCAGAAAATTGTGGTTTATGCCATGGATTTTTGTGGAAAGATATAAATTAATTGACTGTGGCAATTGGTAAGTCGATTTATTATTCTAAGAATGTATATATATATATATATATATATATATATTATATTATATTATCATATTATAATATTTGTACTTACACAAATAAATAACAACTTAGATGAATAATTATTAGATGATAGAACCATAAATCTAGAACCATTGTTTACCTTCTACTTTTATATCTTATAATTAAATTAAAAATTTCAAAAAAACATTTCAATTTAATTAATCTAAAAACAAAACATTTGATTAGAAAAAGGCAATTTAAACATAGAATCTAAAAGTGGAAGGTAAACAATGGTTCTGGAGTATTAGCTAATAATTATTCATCAAAGTTATTTATTTGTATAAGTGCAGAAAGATTTCATTTATTTAAATATCTGGAATAAATATGCTATTTTACATATCCTCAATGCTATTCGTATTCGCACAAATTGCTATCGGTATTTAAGGGACATAGCCACAAAAAAACATAAAATTGGAAAGATAAAGATGCATTTTGACTGCATGAGTATGCAGTATTAATTTTATAACCTCAAAGCAATTTTATGAAATGGATTTTATAAAGAATACATTACCTTAGGTAAATGTGGTTCAATAACAATAGGCTTATCATCATCATCATCATCCAAATGCCTCCTCGTTTGAAAATTACTCTGTGCATATCTTTTAGTATTAACCACAAACCCTTTCCTCGATCCTGTAAACTGTTTATTATTCCTCGACCCCCAATCATAGTTCAAATCCTTAGTGTTACCTCGTTTTGCCAACAGTTCCTCGACTTGTTCCAAAGTCAGATGTGGTTCATCCTTGGGTTTGAAATTAAGTTTGAGCATAGCAAACTTCTTAACCCCTTCGAGGAACACATCAATCCTTTCTGCAGTTTCTTTAACATTTTGTACGTTGTTTTTGAATTCGGTTGTGGGGTCATTTAAAGTTTTGTTGAGTTTATCGTTTGCCAAAGCCCCAGCACTTTGGGCTATTTGTCTGGTACTTGAATTTTGCCATATTTTCTTATAATAATTCTGTTGGAGTCTTGCGCCAGCTCTCAGGACCTGCCTTAAGCCTCTTATAACTGCAGCAATGTCATAACCCCAAGACATTGCTGAAAATATATGTATTCAAAATACATATCACTTAAAAGTATTTATATTGATACAATTGTTGAATACGATAATTTTGATGTCATTTCGAAAAAATAGATATGAATAATTTGGAAAATAAATAAAAACCGTGCACTTGAAAATTTTGTACGGCTGAAAGTGACAGCTCGAGTTTGACAGGTGTCAGATTTGAGGTTTGTGATTGGTCAGGCGAATTTCAACCACGTGGTCTAAACAACTTACCCAAAGAATTATAACTTTAATTGTATATATTTATACTTATTTAAATGTTTATTTGAGACTACATTAAAATATCATTTGAAGCTTGTGAAAATTCTATCGAATTTATTTTGTCACTTATCTTGATAAAATATTATCATGCTCCATATCACATTACGTCTTTGTTTACAAAACCCATGTTTTGGTAATTGATATAAAGAAATTCTCATGGACATTTGATTGATGTTGCAATAAGTAATTATAAAAAATATATTAATATTATTTAAATATTCTAAAGGCCTAAATTACATAATTTGCATCTTGCAATACATTCTTCCAAACTGTTAAAATATTTTTGTTTTTTTCTTATATTTATATATACACTTAAATAATTGTTTTTATATAATGAAATATTTATTTCATTATAAATAAAATCTAAACAAAATTGTGACTGAATGTTGAGATGTATTAGATGCATCTTCGAGTGAAATATTTCATTCAGCATCCCAATATATAATACATTCGCGTTTCTGTGTTACATAATAAAAATGATAATCTCCATGCATATAAATAAAATTCTAAACAAAAATGCAATCTATTGTTGATGCATCTTTGAGTGAAATATCTCATTCAGCATCCGAATATATAATACATATCAAACAAATCAATATCGAGACAGGTTCAAAAAATTTTCAGTTATTGCTAAAATATATAAATATGTTTATTTGATACTTTTTTTAAAAAAAAATTCATTTGTCCTCGTTTACTTCATAGGAGGCAAATATACACAATTTCTAATTTTTAATCGTAAGTGATTTTAGATAAGTTTAGTTTCTTTTTTGATCAAAAAACTATTTACTTTTTCATTTACTTTTGATTTTACTATTTGAGGATATGGTTTGTATCTTTCTTCAGAAACTATCAAAAACAAATTTTCTTTTTATTCATTTGACCACATTTTTCATTATTTCGAAATTAAAAATATTTCGAATTTTAGATTAAATTTGAAAATTTGGTCCAGAAATTGCGCTTAGAATCATGCCTTGCAAGATTCTTGAAAATAAAAACCTAAGCTCCAAAATATTTTTTTCCCAGTTGATTTATCTGGATTGGTTATCACTTATTTATTTAAAGTTGAAAGTGAGTATTGTTTAAGGTGATTGTTTTAAAAAAAAAAAAATATATACAGAATATAATACATAAGACCATGAAAAACTAATCATTACTTCTCCTCATCGTTACGAATTGAATATTTTTTAAATCATTCAAATCGGATGCTCCGTTCTCTCAAAAACTCGATTTCTATTTTCTGCACTCTTTGCTCCGTATCTCCGAAACGGCTGGACCTGCCTTTGCCAAAAACTAATCAGAACATCTTCCTATCAATAGGAATCGAATGTTTTTTGAACCATTCAATCGGTGGATTCAAAAACGTTGAAAAATTGTATTCGTATACACATCCATTTTTTCTAAGGGATGTTCAGAACCTTTGAAACGTGAAGAGATATAAACAAATTTATTTCGATTTTTTTGCGATTACTATAACTTACCCTACGGGAAGTTGAAAATGATCAACTATTTTTGATCACATAGTTATTAAATTGAGTAAATACTTTGATCATGAGTTCTCTTTCAAATATCTTTTTTATCCCTTGATTGATCTTCAAATAAGTTTCTAAAAGATATTATTTCAAGTACCTATCCATTTTAACCGAGTCATTCTACAAATTCGTAAATCCATTCCAATTCAGGCAATCTCATGTTATAACACATGTGTGAGAAGTGAAAGGAATTGGATCAAATTTCTTTTAAAAAATTCTTCGAACTTTGAAAATCGACAACTGCCCAGCCGAGACGAAAGAAAGCATAGAATCATATATTTAGAATCATGAAAGCAATTATGCTGTTCAACAGAATCTATCATTAATAATAAACATTTGAATTTATTTATATAAATGGTATTTTGTTTAATTACCATCATCATTGTAATTACTAGAAAAAGACTAATTTTGTAGGATTTACCTGGCATATGGAAATTAGCTATTAGGTAATAAGCGGGGCTTTATGAAAAAGAAGTGCATAAATTTCATAGAAGTAAGCTTCGTAGCTTTCAATTTGTTTTTTGAAAAGTTAGAAAAAAATATATCTTTTTGGGAATTTTTAAATTTTTTGAGAATATTGATTTGAAAATATTTTTTTGGAAATTTCAACATTTTTTAAACTTTTTTCTTGATATCGGTAATTCATTATTGTACTTATTTATTGCAATTCATAAATCGACGCTGTATATTTTATTTATTTTTTTCAAATCGTCAAAACAATGTTGATAAATATAATAAAATAAAGGCCCATTTCTTTTTGTAAACACTTATATAAATTAGCGTCATATAACAAAATGATACAGAGTTATGTTTCAAGGGTTTCTGAACATTTTGGTATACCTTAGAAAAAATGGATGTAGGTGTTGTATGTGTACGGATACAAAGTTTCGTTGACGATTTCGGGAACAGTGATCAATCGATTTGAATAATTCAAAAAACATTCGATTCGTATTGATAAGGAGACGTGCTGATTAGTTTTTGCCGAAGGCATGTCTAGCCGTTCCGAAGATACGGGGCAAAAAGTGCCAAAAACGGTAACTCAGATCTTAAGAGAACGGGGCGCCCAATTTTAATCATTCAAAAAACATTTTACTTGTATTCACAAGATGAATAACTGGTTAAATTTTTGGGAAGGCAGGTCTAGCGGTTTCGGAGATACAGAGGAAAAAGTAAGATTTTAAAAATTAGTACTAATTTTTTTGTGACAATTTTATTGGGTTTTGTACCAAGATGTTTAATTTTTAAAGTACGGTTCAAGCAAATTTCAAAATCTTCAAATTTTTTTTTTTAAAATATACGAAGTTCTATACTTCAAACATGAATTTTAAATTTACAATTCAGTTTCGTATGAAATATATTCTCATATGGATTCATTGCTCAGATGGCACGATGCTATACACCACTAGTTTTTAGTATTTTGTGTCAATTGCTATAAATAACCTTTTCTGTTTTCTTTTTTTATATTTTTAATAAATATAAAGCAAAGAAATAGAGACGTCTGTGTGCCCTCTACGTTACGTAACCGATATGTTTGACGAAACATCTGTTACGTAACATTAACGTTTTAATTATGAGGACTACATGATTCATATTTTTTTAAAAATAATTTCCGTAGACTTTCTTACTTTAATATAAAAAAATAATTTTGATCAACTTTTTAAATTCAACGATTTTTCCTTTCCATCTATAGTCCAGTCATTTAGTGCAAAAAAAGGCTGTTGCCGGTACAGTACTCCGGGAATTCTGAAAATTGGTAATCTTATAGATTTCGAGGTGCTCTTTACGAAAATCAACTTTGCCACCTCAAATTTGGACGGCAAGTTGCCGCCATATTGAAAAAATGGCGTCGAAAAACAGCTTTTTTAAAATATCTCCTTTCTGGCTCAATCTACGATAAAAGTATCTATGTACAAATTAAACTAGAGAAAATTTCCTACAATTCCTTAGAAAACCGTTTTTTTGTAAAATTGATAGTTTGAGAGTACGGCCGCCTCAAAGTCTTTGCTGCTCTCGCCGTAGTATCAAATCTCTCTATATATGACAGCACTTCGAACTTGACCACATTCTCTCTAATAATTAATATTTTCAATGTTAAATTAAGCGAATAAGATCCTAAGCGATCTAATTCAAATATTTTTCGTTTTTTTTTGCTAATTTTTTAACACTTCAATGGCAAAGTAGCTGTAAATATCAAGTAGCTTGAAGCGTTAAAAAATCAGCAAAAAAACAGAAAAATATTTGAATTATTTTATTTCTAGATCTTATTCGCTCAATTTAATATTGAAAATATTAATTATTAGAGAGAATGTGGTCAAGTACGAAGTGCTGTCATATATGGACAGATTTGATACTACGGCGAGAGCAGCAAAGACTTTGAGGCGGCCGTACTCTCAAACTACAATTTACAAAAAAACGGAGTTCTAAGGAATTGTAGGAAATTTTCTCTAGTTTAATTCGTACATAGATACTTTTATCGTAGATTGAGCCAGAAAGCAGATATTTTAAAAAAGCTGTTTTTTGACCCCATTTTTTCAATATGGCGGCAACTTGCCGTTCAAATTTGAGGTGGCAAAGTTGATTTTCGTAAAGAGCACCTCGAAATCTATAAGATTACCAATTTTCAGAATTCCCGGAGTACTGTACCGGCAAGACGACCAAATGACTGGACTACTAATGCGAACTTAAAAATTGTCTCTATGGTGCATGTCTCATCTATCCATAAGCATACTCTTTGCTTCAAATGTCAAATAATAAATATAAACCTAGAATATAAATTTCGTTTAAATCATTCTCATATTTTAAAAGATTATTACAATTATTTTTTAGCATAATTTTTTTGTTAATATTTACTGGTAAAACGCAGTAAAAGTATTTAAAAATGTCAGAAGAAACAATTATGTCTATGAATGATCAGGCAATTAAAAATGAACCACCAGAATATTCAGTAGAAGAGATTAAACTTGAAAGGGATGATGATTTAGATGATTCTGATGCTATTGTGGAATCTGAATCGTGTTCTGAGGATGATGAAACGTGTTTAAAAAGATTCATGAACTCCGAAGTGACCATAGAAGAAGATGTCAAACAGGAGTCAATCGAGGCTTACGTATGTAATATTTGTAATCAATCTTTCGCAGAATCACATCAATTAAAGGTGCATATGGTTAATCACGAGCCCAGCCGCAGCAAAGAACGCCCTTTCAAATGCAAAATCTGCCATAAGACTTTCAAACACTCAATACTATTAAGAAAACACATGATGACACATTCTGGAGAACGTCCCTTCGAATGCAATATATGCAATAAGGCATTTGCCCAATTAGGCAATCTAAAAAGTCATATGCTCATTCACAGTAGTGAGCGCCCTTACGAATGCACTATATGCAACAAGACTTTCAAAGAATCTCGTGCTCTGAAAAAACACATGCAGAGACACAGTGGAGTACGCCCGTATGAATGTGATGTATGCAATAAAAAATTCACAGAAGTAAGTTCTCTGAAATATCACATGCTGATACATGATGAAGTACGTGCCCATAAATGCTATATATGCAAGAAGCCATTTAGACATTTTAGTAGTATGAGAAGACACATGTCGATTCATGACAAAGAGCATTCTTATAAATGTGAAAAGTGCAGTATGGGATTTACTCAAGCGTATGAATTTCTGGATCATATGGAACTTCATGGTGGGAACGATTTGAGGAAACACCTGGAAATTCACACAAAGAAAATCAATGAATTATTATTGCCATTATGATTGATTCATATTATAAATCGTTATATAACTCATTTTGTAATTAGTACTCATTAAGATAGAACATGAACAGAAAACATTTGCAATAAGCATATAATGTAAAACTTTTTTCAATATACTGTGATAGATTTTTTTAAAAAACTCCTTGGCAATGGAGAATGTTACTATGGAATTAAGATGCACGTAAGATTATTCAAGTAGTCTAACAGCATTAATGTGACAATATTTATTTATGATTAAGATTTATACACAAATATATAACTGAAAATTGTTAACTTAATTTATAGATTTAAATGTTAGAATTATTAATAACATTATTAATATTAATAACATAACTTGGCCTAACAATTGTTTAATAGTGTAGTGTTCTTATGTAAACTATTGCTGCATGGCATCGTTTGTTAAAACTTTCCATATAGTAAACAAATATTCGAGGAATATAAACAATAAGCAATCAATAAAAATTTATCAATTATTAATAACAACTGTTTTGAATATTTTCAAATAGATTTTTATAGTACTACAAATTTTATCATTTATAAGCTCAGTCTTCTGGGCCTTTTCAAATTCCTTAGAAATATTCAGAACAAGGCATTTAAATATATTATCAAATGCATTATAAAACTAGCGGTGCATGGCATGGTGCCTTAAGGCAAATTGCTGGAACTTCACTTACCATAAATTAATTTTTTTTAAAAAGATTTAATTCTTTTTTTGAACTCTGAAAAAACTGATTTTTGATATTTTTTAAATTTTTGAAAAAAATTGGCCCTTTTCAAAAATTTTATTTTTTTTATAATTTGTATATAAAATTATCATTTTCGATTTTTTTTTGCGATTTCTATAACTTACCCTAAAGTTAAAAATTATAGCACATAGTACAATTTTCCGTCTACGATATCGGGCGCACGGATCAACCGATTTGAATGATTTAAAAAATATTCGATTTCTATTGATGGGGAGACGTGCCGATTAGTTTTTGGCAAAGGCGGGTCCAGCTGTTTTGAAAATAGGGAGAAAAATGCCAAAAATGGTAATTTAGTTTTTGAGAAAACGGAGCGCCTGATTTGATTCAAAAAACATTTTACTTGTATTCACGAAATGAGGAATTGAATACATTTTTTGGGAAAGCAGGTCCAGCGGATTTGGAGATCCAGTGAAAAAAGTAAAAAAAATGTCAATTGGAGGTTAAAAATGATCATTTAGACATATGCATATCAAATTATCTGATATTTTATAAAGATTTTAATAAGTATAAATTTTGTTTATCTTTTTATGGGTTTATCCTTTTACGCGCTTTGATATTTCGTCTATAAAACAGTTACGCAGGGTTAATAAAAAGTTCAAAATTTCGAAAAAAATTAAAAAAATTAAAAAATCAACATATAAAAAAATATTTAAAAAAAAATCAAAACTCAAATTGCCTTGGAAGTTTGTCCAACTTTAGTCAATGTATAATTTATTTGCTGCTGTACAAGATGGCATTTAAGGGGGTTGTTCGTTTTTTAATTTTTTTTGTTTCGGTTTTGAGATTTTTTGATATTATGAAAAACCTTAGAATTATTTAAAAAAAAAATCTTTCCAATATCTATTTTTTTGACGAAGTTATAGATATATATAACTCTATAAGTATGATCCTCAGAAAGCGTTTTTTTATCGCTCCGCGAGCTATTGTATGCCAGCTGCCCACTTTTTCATTATAATACCTCATGCACATGACCTTTTGAATGTGTCAGCATCTTTGAACACCACGGTGTATTTCGTACATTAAATTAAATGGTGTATTTAGTACATTATGTTAAAAACTTTAAATACGTTTTTCTCAAATTGACTTTTTTCAATGCGGTGCCGCAAATTTAAAAAAAAACTACAAGTTGGACCGACTTGCATTTTTTTAATTTGTTCACCACTGCAATACCTAGTCCCCCTACCTCAAACAACTTGATAACATTACGCAAAAAAATTTTGCGAAGTTTCTCGACCCAAAAAAGGCCTTTTTTGACACTTTTTTTTAAATAGCTGCCATTTTTTTCCTTCTTGCTTTTTTTCTATCATTTTGGTAGTGGGACTGGATTCAAACTTCTTCTTCAACGTAGTTTCTTTTTTTTTTTTCGGGCGATGCGCAACAGATTTATCTGTGGCACCGCAAAAGAGATCGATTTTGCAAGACCGACTTTGGCGCCCCCTGGTTAAAAAATGACGGCGCAAAAATAAAAGAAGAAAATTACGTAAAATTCTATGATTTTGTAATTTTGTTTAAAAAAAACCGCATGTCTCTATGATAAATACATTTCGAGAAAAGCAAAAACAAATATCTTGCATTTTTTGTAAAAAAAAAACAATCCCCTTAAGTAAAAATAAATACATCATATAATAATTTTGAATAATGTTTATCAGTAATATTGTAACACTCGTGATGCACACATTTATTAGTATCAACCATTATACGAGATATAATGATAAATTCTAAATTATATATTTGTAATACCATTGAAAATAAATTAAAAAACCAATTGAAAATAAATAAATTAAATGTAATTAAAGTCATACTTCAAATATGACATGAACGGTTTGTCATTGTAATTAACATCTACAAATGAACCTTCATTAGAGAAATGAAGTAATTGCTGATTAATAAATTCTATAATATTCGTTTGCACAGTGAATTATGTAAAACAACGCCTAAAGAAATATTGTTTTCGCAACTTTATTCATCATGTAATAATTGTGTTTGAAGAACTTCATGTAATTAAAATTAACATACATTCATTGACTGCTTGTATTCTTTTTTACTTTTTCGCTGGCGATATAATCTCATTAGAACAGCTGTAATATCTGTTTTGCCTAAAAAATATTTTCCATTTTAATAACTTCAAAGATTTATAGAAACTACGAATAATATAGAAATAATTTCTAATCAATAATTTTACGTTTAGTTCACGGCACACATGTTTAATTTGTTTTATTATTATCAAGGATCAGGGTGAAATATTCTTTTGATTCAGGCATTTTTATTAAATCAAGATTTGTACTACGATGTAACTTTAAAATGTTTAATTATCTATGCCGATTTCCTTGTTGATATCGGTATGCATACAATGTTGATGCCGGTACGCATACAACGACAGATCTCTATTCACATACACGACGACTAATCACAATCGACCCGTATAGAAATGATTTCATCGAAAGCGAATGACGTACAGTTCTGGTGTAACTTACTTCCGTTGCATTTGAACGGATTCACACCCTAGTCGCGCCTAAAGAAGTTTTACTTCAAAAATTTCTTTTACGAAAATATTTTTTACTTGAAAGCAAGTATATGCATATCGATTACTAAAATTTTTCTTTCCCAGCCCGCATAATTCTGGTGCACTTTCATGTACATTGACATTGCCTCCGTCGTCCGTACATTACATATGAAAGTCAACTCAAAAGCGATAGTGAAATTTCATATACAAGTCCGTTTTGTTGTTCCGTTGTACTTTTAATGATCTATTTTGTCGTCGACTACATATTTTGCCTCACACGACCACTCTTTATTATTTTTTATTGCTCCTGAATGCAATAATAGTAATATTGGAGCACTGAACCTGGACTTGGGTTGTGGGATTGAAATGGTTTTATAGATTTTATATATGAAAAATGTTATTGCAGTATTTATGGCCATGTAGTATATTTGTAAAAGTTATTGTTATATCAATAACATGTCAGGGACCGATATTGAAAGGATTGGATTGGAATATGATTTATTTTTTATTACCTAATTTTATTGGCGCCAATAGAGTTTATTTTGCACAGTAACTTAAAATTATAATTGTGTTTAAATCTATTTTGAAAATTTCTAAGTAAATAAAAGTGAATCCGCAAATTATCCGTTTCATTGAAGTGCTCTTGGTAAACCACATTTTTTGTTGTTTGGTCTGACGTTAACACAAACAAAGCGGATGATTTTCCAACTCGTGAACAGGCAACGTATAACTGCCCATGTGTAAAACAATGATTTTCTAAGTAATCTATTTGAGATTTATCCAGTAAACACTAAGCGATTGGCCTTGCTACTTGTTAGTTGTCATTGCGAACGCAAGGCGAACTCGAAATTGCAATCGTTTGAAGTCAAACGGAAGACCAGTCAGAATCATTGGTATGTCACCAAATCGCCAACAATTTTTGGTTGAATGGTGAAATTCAGTGCGTGTACATCATTATTCTTTGCGGCAAGAATAGCTCGTTGACTTATCCAAGCATAATTCTGATAATTCTCACTAATGTCATTACTCGAATTTTTAATCACGGTGCGTGAAGTTCCAGCAGCTTGCATTAAGGCACGATGCCACGCACAACTAATTTTCTCAGCTATAAACTTTGCGGAGCCCGAGACCAACGAATGCAAAATTGTCGAAATCGGTTCGTGCGTTCTGGAGTTATTTCGTCAGGAAGGAAAATCCGACTTATTTTTATATATATAGAAGATATATTTTGTATATTTTCATTTAAATCGTCAAAACATACTGGTAGACATTATAAAGAGGCTCATGCAACTTTATAAACAATTTCATAAATCAGGATCGTATAATAGAATAAGAATGAGTTTTTTAATTGATATTAATCATGTTTCAGTATCATATATATGCTAGAAATGTATATTTAAGTATGTATTAGACTTAATTTTATAATAATTGACAAATTATTCAGATCATGCAAATTATAAAGACTATATAAAATTTCAAATTAGCAACAGAGAAGCATCATGATTCTTTTAATTTAGAAGAATTATTATTTATTGAATGAATTTTAAAGGGTGAATATGAAAAGCGTGTTTCAACCTAAAACAAACTTTATACTTGATATGTTTTATCATAAAGTATTTCTGTCTCTTGTTTATAATTCATTTTTAAGTAAACTTCTTTAGGCGCGGCAAGGGTGTAAATACGTACAAATGCAACGGAAATAGCGTTACGCCCGAACTGTACGTCATTCGCTTGTGATTAGTCGTCGTGTAT